GGTACTGTCTGCGATAGGGCTTTATTTATACTTCCTCTGCAGCTGTGACACTTATAAGAACCTATCCACGCTCTTGGCATTAAAGGTAATATTTTTGGCAATAAGTTCTTACTCCATGTCCACATTTACAAGAATTTAGTGGGAATAATTCCGCCTTACAGATTTTCAAGTATGTGAGCTTCAATAAGACAATGAACCAACTCAACCTCACTCTGGGACAGTGCGCAAAGGACATTGCCGGTTTTGGCGTAATGTTCTTCATCGTCTTTTTTGCCTTTGCCCAACTGGGCTACCTCGCCTTCGGCACGCAGGTCAAAGACTTTGCCACTTTCTCCACATCTCTGTAAGTTGGCCTTTTTCGCTAATAGATGCACTCACCCGTTGGTGCCAATATATTATTGATCAGCACGGCCTATTTGAGTTTGCATAACTTTCTACTTATTTTGTATTAGTAGGCATGTTTTGTTTTACTACTTTGTCGTGGATTCCTTTAGCACAAACGTTCGATATAGCCCCGCCATATATTACAATGCACAAACCCATGGAACTCGTCAGCAACATGTGACATCTTTTTTACAGACCAGGTTGTGTTAGCCAACACAAAGTTAAGACACAGTTTATGCACATATTCTACTGCACTCCTTACGAAAATATCTACGGGCGAAAAGACAGAAATGTGCAGGATGATACAGAAAGAAAAACATGTTCTTCGACCATTTTACAGTGAGCTTTTGATCGCATGTTATACTCCCAATATAAATATTATTTTAGTACCACTGTTTGTAGAGCGGGCATTATCAGTAAGTAAGGTACCCACTGCGTGGTTGAAAAATCAGATTTTGATTTTCGGATCAGGTCAGCGTTCAGCAAAGTTAACCAACATCGGATTCGTTTCGCGCTCAATTTTTCGAACCCTTGGATTCAATTCAAATCCGAATTGTCGCAAATGGGTTTTCGTTCTTATTTTAATCATCGCTTCCTTGGTGCCTGCTATATATTACCTTTTCTTACAATGTCATATAATATCTCGCGTTACTGTTTGCTATTTTTTTTATTTTCCCTCTTGTGCCCATGTGATTCCCTAACTGAGTAACACGTGCTACCACCGGCCCAATTTTTACGAATACTGAGATTTTCTGCCTCGTGAATTATCACAGATTTGGAGGCCAGTTCCAAAGTGTGTGAGCCTGGCAGTTATCGCACTAAGGCCCTGCGTGTGTCAGCCTCCGGGAGATGATCGGTTAGACCGGCTTTGGAAGATAGGCGTGGACGTGTGCACACTTGCAAGCCACATGAGAGGTTGAACGTGGGTACAGTTCTCAATGCGTATGATTGGCTGTTCCATAGGGTATTGACGCTTGCAATCACGTGATCAAATGCGTCCTTTAGCACGTCTCCCTTTCCTTCCCTTTTGTCTTGCTCTTCCTACTCATCCTCCTCTTCCCTCATTCTCCTCCTTCCCTTACTTCCTTATTTCCTCCTTTATTTCTTCTCTTCAATTTCCGTCCTTCTTCTTTTCTCACTTTCTCCTATTGCTTATTATCCTTTTCCTCAACCTCCCTTTTCTTATTTTCACCTCGTCTTTATCCTCCTTCCTATCTTCTTCCTTTTCCTTCTCTTTGTTTTTTTAGCCCTTTCTCCCTTCCGTATTCTCGTCCCCCCCGTACTGTCACTTTGTCGCAGTATCCAGTTAGTCAGTAGCAGCCCAGCGAAAGATTAAGTCAGACCTCGCGTGCAACCGAGATCCCCACCAGCTCCTTGACCCAGTGATCAACCTACCCCGACTCAAGTCGTCTGTTAAACCCTTTTAGTTCTTCCACAGACATTTGTTTTAAAATTTAGTCTTATCTTTGCTAATTTGGATATTTCTCCCCTAAAACGAAAGTAGATTGTACTGCCACAGGAAGATTTGATATACTTTTTGCCTCCTTGTAGACTTTTAATCTATTGTTCTTACATTCTCTCTCCCCCTTCTACTCCTCCTCGTTCTCACCTAGATTAACCCTGTTCCGCATAATACTCGGTGACTTCGACTTTCAAGCCCTACACGAAGCCAACAGGGTACTCGGCCCCCTCTACTTCCTCGTCTACATCTTCTTCGTCTTCTTCGTCCTCATCAACATGTTCATTGCCATTATCAATGACACCTACCTGGACGTGAAGTCCAACCTCCTGAACCAGCCGAGTGAGGTGCAGATGAAGACCTTCTTTAAAAAGGTGCGACAGTCTCTTTGATGCTCTTTTTGAAGCAGTTATGCAGAAACCCCCGCGCGCGTGGGGTCTAATCGGTTTTTGTACTCGGAGCACTACAATCACCAGAACAAATCTCGGCTTGTAGGAAAAGACCGGAATGAGACATTTATTGCGCATATGATCCTGAGTATTTTGAGACGAAGTTTTTTTGAACACTGGAATCAT